AAAAAAAAAAAAAAAAAAGCGCAAAATGCTCATAATTTATGTAAATGTTGATATCAAAAGCCCTGTTTTATAACAATTTAACAGCACAAATGAGCCAAGGTTCAACTATTATAAACTTCTGTACAACAAAAAACAAAATGCTCACAATAAAAAAAGCTCTGTTGTATAATGACTTCAGTAAAGATCAATCGACTCAAGCACCTTCCGGGCTTGAAAATGCAAAGTCGTTAGTCTTTGCTCGGGATCTAGGGTCGATCCGAGTTGAGTTGCTACCCATATTAAGGAGGCAGATTTTTCACCCAGCAATCGCCTCACATCTTCGTGTAATGCCATCATTGGAGGTTTTTCCCTTACAGTTACATGTCCAATGAGTAGTAACAGAAATTCACCACATTTCAACCTGATTGAATATGGAATATGTTGAGGTGAGTGTTTTCAATGATTAAATTTACTACAAAGTACAAAGTTTTTTGATACGTGAAAACCTTAGATTTTCCTCTGTTTGTTTATCTCTAATTAGAAGAGCAACTTCTTCAATGCCATTGCATGCCTCGAAATCCTAGCACAAAATTAAGTTCCAGACATCAAATTGATCGAGCAACTATATCAAATAATCTCGTGTAAAAATACAAAAAGTACCCCATGCAACTAACGGATCTTGATCACAGTATGTTTGTTTTATTCAATAGAGAAGGGCAATCCAACATCAACAATGAGAATGAATAAAAATCTAACGGCATTTATAGATGAGAGAACAAGTCAGCATTGAATATAGAGAACTAACCCAACATAGTGGGCTCAAACAAGTTTTTTCGAGTGTAGTTCTTACTGCCGAAATTTAGTTTCGGAGAATTAAACCTTTTCAGTAATTTGCTATAACGTGCTGAAACCTACCATTTGATTGGAGCATGAATCGAGCATGATTGCAATTAAAGCATCAAGGCATGCACCTTGCTCGAGTACTCCACGGGTTGCCAAGATATTCATCAACACCTGCCATATGCAAACGCAAAATCTCACACTGGCAATAGCATCCAGAACTTGTAACAACTAAACCGTATCATTAAAACTTGTCATAGAACTAAAAGAAAGAAATCCAATTTTTTTTTTCAAATGGTCATAGCATCAATGAACCAGCACTAATAATTCCTGACAAAAGAGCCCCAACCTTTTCACTTCAATTATATCAAAAAGAGAGAGAGAGAGAGAGGGGGAGAGAGAGAGAGAGAGAGAGAGAGAGAGAGAGAGAGAGAGAGAGAGAGAGAGAGAGAGAGAGAGAGAGAGAGAGAGAGAGAGAGAGAGAGAGAAATGAGTTTTGGATTCACATACTGTAACTGCCTTATGCTGATGAGCCAAGTTTGTGCTATCCCGATGAAGAAGACAGCACCCTTCAAGAACATGTAGAGCAAGAGACACCTCAGCATCAGTGGAAGAACTAGCTGTTTTCATAGGTTGATCAGTAAATATGTGGTTCAGATCAGTCGCAAGCTGTTCTTCTGCTTCTTTAAGGGAGTGTTGAAACAGAACAGGCACAACTGTTATACAACAAAAGCAAAATCGTACTCCAAATTAAACAAAATGATTGAGACAGTTCTATAAGGCCACATTTGGATTGAGGAATATATTGAGAGACTTGAAATTTATAGATTTTTTAATTTACAAGTTCAAATCTCCATGCATTTTCGGATGATAATAGAAGTTGGAGGATGTCAATTCATGGCACATAGATTTTAGTTATTATGTTGAAGGATTTTAAATGACTCCTCAAACTTAGTCATTTGAAATCTACTTTTATCAGCGAGTATATTCTTCCTTTAGATTCACCACCACTGCGAGTCAATACCATCGATGATGCGAGCTAGACAATGGATTTATAATCCTTTCCACAAATCCATTCAAGACGTTTGAAAGTAGAAATTTTGTATTTTCAAAAATTCGAAATCAAGGGATTTCAAAACTCTCCATCCAACATAACCTAAGAGTTTCCGAAGCTCAATTAGATACAGGTCAACAAACAAAAGGAGCTCTGTTCGGATGAATGAGTGTAACAAATTATTGTCGATATCAAATACCCCACTAAGTAAGCTGCACTTGTGTTCGGTTTAGTTTTCCAAAGAAAAAAACCACATCTTAGAAAGGGAGTTCCTCCATGATGAATTTAAACTTAAGCAGAACCATGTTACCAATACCAAACACATATACTTCGACAAACTAAAAAAGCTTTGCGCGAACGAATGAGTGTAACAAATTACAGTTGATATCAAAATCCCATTAAGTGAACTGCACTTGCATTCGGTTCGAGCATTGGTGTTTAGTTTCAGTTTTCCAAAGAAACAAAATACACCTTAGAGAGAAAGTTAACTAAGCTCGAACGAAGCTATCGATATCAAACACATATAGTTCAACCAGTGTTTTAAAAAGCGCACTTTAGCGCGCTATGTAGCGCGAAACAGCGCAACTAAACTAAAAAACGCGCCGTAGCGCATTATAATTCGCGCAGTTCATGAAATGCGTACGTTAATGGTGACGTGGCATGCTTTTCTGGCAATATATTGCGCTTTTTACGCAATAGCGCATAATTCTCACGCCTTTTGACCCTTTTTCAATCTAATAGGTAAAAAAAAAAAACAAAAGAAAAACAAAATCAAAGCCCTCCACTCACGAAACCCTTGTTTCATCCTTTCATCATCTCAAATTCTCATTGGTTCCACCGTCCTCCAAGCCCTCCACTGCAACCTCCACGCCTTCACGCCTCCACCACAGCCCGACGAGAGTAGGAACTCCGCCGCCTCAGCCTCCTCACAACCAACCTGCTTCTCACAACATAAGCATCTTGCAACTCGAATTCCCTGATTTTCAGCTCTCACCACCCCCAGATTCCCCTCTCCCTGCTCTCGACTCCCGACTCCCGACTCCTGACTCCATAGGTAACATTTTTTTTTTCATTGAAGATTATGAATACCTTCATCCGAACTTCAATTTAAATTGGGACTTTTTTTTTCATTCACTTGATGATTTAGATTTTTTGTTTAATTAGCATGATCATTTATTGAATTAATAGAATGAGATATAAATGATTGACTGGTTCTTGTTGTTTTGAGGATTGATTTTTTCTTTTAATTGATGAGTTGGTATGATGATTTGGTGATTGGGGCTTTGCTTTGGATTTGTGACTTGGTTCTTGGTATATAAATGAATTTGGTGATTTGGTGAAATATAAATGATTTACTGGTTCTTGCATATATAAAAGAATTTTTCTTTGATTTGGTGATTGGGGCTTTTTTTCTATAAAAATGGGACTCTGTTTTTTACTTTGATTTGTTTTGAGATTATGAACATCCTGATTTACCCACATTGATGATTGACTGGTTCTTGTTGTAGTTTTTCAAAAATATGTTGCCTTGATTTTCAGTAATCATTATGGAACATATC